AAAAAAATTAATGGCAGAAATGAAGCTGCAGTCAKCTCTGAGGTGATTGAGACTGAAAAAGGTCAGACAAACAAGTGCCTCACTCTGGAGACAGCTTTTGTGGGGTGTAGCCAGCAGTGATATCAGGATTTAACCATAACCTGCATAATTTACCTAAAAAAAGCAGAAACTAGTCAACCTGTAAATCCCAGAAAATCCACTGCAGCTGGCTAGTGCATTTGATTACATTCCCTGCTGCCATGTAAAATTAAAAAATAGCCAAGATTAAACTGAACGGTAAAATACTCTTAGTTCACACTTGTAACTCTTCAAAAAATGTTTCATATAAGCAGTGAAATAATCACCTGACGTAGCCAGGGAGTAAGAATGGACAGAACCGGGTATTTTTAAAAACAAACAGATGCGTCCATAATTTGTGTGCATAGAGAGTTGGTCTGTGACTGTGCTTAAACTCTGTTGATGCTGAAAGGTGGCCACGCTGATATTTGCAGCTGAAGTAATGGTCGGTTTTGCTGTCACATGTTGGCATTTTCGTGCAAGCCTGAGCGTAGCCCATGCCCGGGGGATTTCATGCTGCTTGTGCAACTCAGTTTTGGCAGCTGAGTCCTGAGGGTTCTTGTGCAATCCCCGGCAGGGCCTTACACTAAACATTCTCTCTCGGCCGCAGGTGATTCCAGGAGGTGGCAGCAGCGACGTTCACATTTCCTTYACCCCGCTCGTCCTCCCGGATACAGAGGCTGAGCTGTGCTGTGACGGCTTCATGCTGGGCTTCRTGAGCCTGGACAACAAGGTAAACCGACTGTCACAGCGAGGCTAAGGGTAACTGGGAAATAATCGTTTCCTTTCCTGTAATTGATGTACAGGCTGCTKGTACCTGGCCAGTCTGTGTAAACAGTCCTGTTCCTGCTGTCCTGTACATCCTTCCTTAACCGGGGTTGTTCATCTGTTGCATTTGTCTTTGAGCTTGGAAGCATTCTGGGGTGGGAATGTCACCATCTTCTTGCATTGTCTGGGGCAGCAGACCCGAGACAAAAGCCCAGGGTTTGAAATGCTATCACAACATCAGGTTGTATTGATAACAATGGTTAACAATGGGAGTGAGACTCAGGACTGCCGAGTCCCGTTCCTGGCTCTGCATCCATCTTCCTGTGTGAATTTGGACAGCATATTTCTCCTCTGGGAAACTTCCTCTTCAACAACTGCTGATGTGAGGCTTGAATAGTGTTTTATGAATGGCTCAGCGATTCTCTGACATGAATCATTGCAAAGGTGCAAGGTAAACTGAATGAATGAGAACAGAATATTCAATAAAAACAACCCTAATATTCCGTTATTCCTGAAGAAAGAAATGTAGAATAATAGAATAATAGAGTCTTGGAATGATTTGGGTTGGAAGGGACCTTAAAGTTCTAATTCTAACCCCCTGCCATGGGCAGAGACATCTTTAAYCAGAAAAGGTTGCTCCACACTCCATCCAACCTGGCCTTGAATGCTTCCAGAGATGGGGCATCCACAGCTCCTCTGGGGAATCTGTGCCAGGGCCTCACCACCCTCAGAGGGAAGAATTTCTTCCTAATATCTGATCTAAGCCTGCACTGTGTCTGTATCACCTACARCCATTCAGAGTTCAGCTRCTGCTTGGCCTCTGCTGTTCCATCRTGTCTTACAAACAGGCACTTCACTACCAAACAGAATCTTATTTTGGCTAACATCCTCTCAGGCTCAAAGCAGCATTTCAGGTTYGGAGCTACCATTTCATACATGATTTCTGTTTCCCTTTTGTTGTCAGCTTGCCAAGATGGTGCCTAACAARGTGTATCGCAGACATGGCCATGAAGCTCCCCCGTTACGAGTGCACGTGGAAGCTGTCCTGAGGCATCCCCTGTAAGTGCCATCGTGCTCACAGCTGGCAGCCACATGGAATGGGCCAGCCTGGGGCAGGGCTGTGATCAGTCCTRATTCTTTACCCTCAGGTTAGAAGTGGAGATGGATCACGACAGAGGAATGGTGTTTTATTCAGTGGCGAGTGATCTCCTAGCTGCTCAGCCTTTTTGTGGAGTGAGTATTTCCCACACTGATGTATTCAGCTGCTTTGTATTTCTGTGCTGCTGTGAGAATTCAGAGCTGTGTGCACATGGCTATGAAAATACATATTTGTTACCAGTAGCATCATTTTCTATATTGCACGTAAGATAGGAAAGAAAAAAAAAAAATACTGCAGTAATTCTTAGCCAGAATAAGAAAAGCTGAGACAGAAAATGGCTATTTTATTCAACTTTCTCTTTCTTTGTAGGGGAGTTTCTAAGTAGAAAATTAATGTCTGATTTTCAGGACATAAAGGTCCAATAGCAAAATTACTCACTTCAGTTTCTATGACCTTCACATTTGAAAACTTAAGACTTTATTAACATGCCTTTTGTTTTGGTTTTTCACTTGAAAAATATTGAAAAACACATGTAGAAAATACTGGGCTGCTTTGGGGTAAAGTCTTTCAGGTCCCTGTTGGTGCTTCATAACCAGACAGAGCAGCACAAACCTCTCCAGGGAGTTAAAACTGACCAGTTCTGAATCATTTCTCCCCCAGGTTTTGACAGATTCAGTAATTACTCAGAATTTGAAACTCACCAATTGCACCAAGGTTCCTCTGTACTTCAGGCTCTTTCTGTCTACGCCCTTCAGCCTCTCCAGTGCAGATYTCAAAAAGAGCACCAAAACATCCCATAGCAAGGAGGAGGAAAGGGAACAGCAACCGCAACATCTACTTTATCCACAGCAAAACATGCTGGTAGGCTCAAAAATAATAATCGTGTGCCAGAAGAGAGAGTTTAGTAATTGGTGTGTTAGTGTGGCCCAGATGAACCACAGAAAAACACAACCAGCATAGAAATCTCCCAGTTTCAGGGGGAATAGTGGTGTATTAATACTAATTACTGCCATTTTTCCTGCTATTTTGCAGGTGCGGATTTTTTTTTTCTACAAATAATCTTTTTCTGTTCCTGATAGGCTTTTCCCATCAACTCTGACCTGTTGCAAGTTCCTGCAGAAAACCCTGTGGGTTTTGGAACTCACCCAAATCAATACATTACATTGGACAAATTAAAAGATTTCCAAGGACTGAAGTCCCTCATTTCCTTGAATTAGATGCAGGCAGTACAAGGAGAGGAAAATTTGATTAGTTTTGGATGTACAAATTGCATTAAAGGAAACAAAGTCCTGGATTAGAATTAGGTAACCTGCAAAGAATGAGTAACTGTTTCATTTTTTAAGTGTGCTTCGCTTTTTGCTGTATTCATTTTGACACAGAGAGATGCACATCTCAATTCTGCATGTGTGGGAGGAAAGAGAGTTTACATGTCTAAGACAGCTTTGGGAATATGGTATTTGTACCTTCAGGAATTCAAAACCTTTAGCTTGCTACAGACTGTTTCTCCCCTGTGGTTCAGAGATCAGTTGTTCACCTTTTCACTCCATCTCCGTGTACTGGGTTATAGGAAATAGCTGTTTTTTTTTTCTTTAATTATAATGCTTTGTTCCAGTGGGAATTTGGCTGCTGGCATGACACCTTTGGGTTCCAGTGGGAAAATGTGTGYCTGGGCCTTTGTGCAATGTGTACTTTGGATTTCCTGCACACAGTGTCGTCTTGTGTGATGGTCATCAGAGTTCCTCTTCCCACAGGTGAAAGTGTCATTCCACATAACTCTGGAGTTACTTAGGTATCAATATTTGCCAGACACCCAGCTGCTTCCTGGATTCCAATTGCTCCAGCTGGAGAATGGAGAGAGAAAGCTGAAGTTTGATCAAAATCTGGTCATTGAACACAGCAACTCCACTACCCAGGTAAGGTCAGAGCAGGATGTCTGGGCCCTGGGAAAGGGTTGTTTCAGCAGCAGCTCTGATTCAGGTTAAGGTTTACGCAGCCTTGAATTACAGGCACCTCTGGAGWAAATGGTGTCATCCAGGTAAAGTAAGTGGCTGTTGGGATGCTCTCTGCTGAGACTGCAAGTGACTCCCAGATGGTCAGAGCAGGTTGGGGCCACACCCTGGTGCTGGTACCCCAGCTTTCTCCACAGCACAACAGCCTGGGAGACACTCAAAGGGCCCTGTCATAGCATGGCTGTGAGACAGGGGTCAGGACTGTCTCAGGAAACAAGCCATGCCTGAGTCACCAGGCACTGCCTCCTGCAGCACCCGAGAGCTTCTGGAAAGGCTTCTGAGTGCACTGCCTCCCGTGGTGTGGTCAGAGCCCACATGCATTTCAAGACTGATCCATCCAATCTCTAACCCCCTTCCAAGCCTTCAGCAGGCACTTCCATCCTCCAGGTATTTTTGAGGAGTGACTTGTGTAAGATTGAGCACCCTATCTCAGATACAGTCAATTGAATCATAATCTTGGGCAATCTGCACAAACTGAATGACTCACAGTGGGCCATATACAGTCCTGAGGGACCATGAGATGCTGTAATGTCTGCAGYTCCACAGAAAACCCTAAAAACAAATGAGAACGTTCACTCCATGTTACTTCATTAAGACCACAGTGTCTTGCTTGAAAACCTGTCTCAAAACAGTAACACAAGCAACAATTTAAATCTCTCAAGGCCGTAGAATGGGAATAGACTATTATGAAAGAACACTGAACAATGAATCTTGATTCAGTGGTTGGGGTTAAGAATGGCCTAACTGGAGCAGGAATACTAAAGCTCTATAAAAATGAGGTGGGTTTATTCTTCTCTCCCTTTCTTCTGTTTTGCAGCTGATCCCAGTGACTGCCTACCTCACTGTTCCAGTCCTGGAGCTCTCCCGTGACATGGTTGATTTTCAGACCTGCCTTGTTGCACAGACCAAGACAGAACATGTCTTTCTGTATAACAGGAGTGGCTGCAGAAGCTACTGGACTGCTTTGCTGGGTATTCTGGTTTTGCAATTGATTTCCTTGCTGTATAGTTTCACTATTCAGTGTTTTAGTTAAGACTGCAAGCACTCACTCAACATAGAGGCAATATGTGATGATCTTGGGTGCATACATATATGGTCTGCTTTTGTTCTCTCTTATGTGCATTTTTCCCYTYCTCCTTTTCCCCTCCCTTTCTTGGCATTGGTATCACTACAGATTTCAGCAGTTACTCCACATCTAACCAAATGWTTGACTCTCAGCCCTCACAATTATTGGACATGCTCTGCTCATTTTTAARTCAATCCTAAGGGGTAACATGAAGCAGCAGCTCCTCCTGACTTTGGTTTGAACATATGCCTAATGCTGTTACCAACAGATGGGCTCCARAGGAAACATCAGGGCCTTATTATTTCAATGTGGAGGCCACTGATCACTGCCCTTGATTAAAGGATGAAAACAGAGGCTGGGCACATGCATAGAAACCCTCTGACAGTGTGAGACATGATTTATTAGTTGCTCAGCAAAGGCAAGCATTGCCATGAGTATGACAAACTGTAAACATTTATACAAAGCATCTTGTATGGCTTTCTTTGATATCTGCCTCTTCCACTGCAGATGAACAGAAAAGACCTGAGGCCCTGGAAGTATTTTCCATCTTCCCAACTAGTGGCATTTTGGAGGCACGTGAAGGRGAGGCACCTACCAGAGAGATTTTGCAGATCAGCTTTGCTGCACGGTACAGTTAAAAGAACTGAAATTGTGCTGTTGACAGAAGGTTGGAATTGTTCAGCCTGGAGAAGAGAAGGCTCTGGGGTAGAGGCGGTTCCAGTGCCTAAAGGGGCTCCAGGAGAGCTGGAGAGGGAGTTCCATGCAGGGGATGGAGTGATGGGACAAGGGGGGAATGGCTTCAAACTGACAGAGGGCAGGGTTAGATTAGAAAGAATTCTGCACTGTGAGGGTGGGGAGGACCTGGCACRGGCTGCCCAGAAAAGCTGTGGCTGCCCCTTCTCTGGAACTGCTTAAGGCCAGGCTGGATGGGGCTTTGTGCAACCTGTTCTAGTGGAAAGTGTCCCTGCCCAGGGCAGGGGCTTGGAATAAGATGAGATTTGCTGTCCCTTCCAACTCAAAACATTCCATGATTCTATGATGACACAAAGACTTCAATTTCTTTGTTCTGATTAGGGAAATGAAACTCATCTTCCATTACAATTTATTTTTTTGGAAGTTAAAGTAAGTCTATCCCAGTGATTTCAGTGWGATCTGAAAACTGCTGACAGGGAAATTTCAAGAAGCAAACTGTAGGTGACTTGAGTTATTGGCATAACTTCCATCTCCTTGGAACACAATGCAGTGATTTCCATCACTGGAACTACTGATATCTCAGTGGGATCTGAGCACCTGTCCCTGCTTAGAGCAGCATGGTGGAACAGAGGCCTCCCCAAGCTCCTGACTGCCTGAATTTTTCTGAAATTCTGCTGAATCTGCCTGAAGCACTTCTTTTTGTCTGACAAATACACTAATCAGCATGGCTGAAAATGCCTGGAAGTACCAGAAAGCAAAGATACTACTGTGTTACTGTATAGCACCCAGCTCTCTGGGGCTCCATAGGAAGTATTCCAAATGCTGCAAGGTGTGGGACAGGTGTAGCATTAGGAAATGATTATATGCAAGGTGTGAGGTGATTTTAATAATTCACCTCCCCAGCTCTGTGGTCTTCTTGCAGGGGAATTGTTTTATGAGAAGCAAAC